TACTCTGATTTCGAAAATCAACGAATTTTGACTCAAGGTTTTTTTTCTATGTTTTGTTCTATAAATTAATAGATAAAATGTTAAGAGACAGAATTTAATGTAGAAACAAATTTAAAAAATATTGGGTCCTCTTCAAATTATCTTAAACTCGACAATCAAAAAAAATTAGTTCCATAATGGATTAATGTAGGTAATAATTGAAAGAATAGTGAAGTTTTTGATTTTCGACAAAATGGTGTCCAAATGGGAAACTCGAAATTATTGTTAAAAATTGTATTCTTTCGATCAATACCTAACAAATATGTCTTAAAAGGTCGATTGAACGTTTTAAGCCAAGAGAAATTTTCCATTTAAAGTTTTGCGAACCATTTACACTAAGTTAATCAATCTTTTTTACAACTTACATTGAAACTTCTATTCCAGGACCATTTCTCGTTTGTATCTAAAATAGTCCGCTGTTGTTGTCTACGAGTCATTTCCCCTCGTGCGTGCTACCTTGTACGCTTGCTTCTGAAATCGAGATGCACTCTGTGTCCTCTTTTCTCACGTAGGGAAGATCATTAGGTCCAAGTGATAATCCCAAATAATTTATATAATAAAGAAGAGATGTTTTTCCTTCATTGAACATCCCAATTATTTCAATGCTTTTTGAACCACATGAGATTATTTTTGGAGCCATTTCCCAAGTTAGCTGATTGTAACTCTCTTTGAAGCCACCTATGCATTCTTCCAGTAATTCCTCATTGCTGAGGTCTGTATAAATAGCACACATTGCTGCAGCAACATCGGGTGAAGGGAGCTGGTAGTCTTGTTTATAGCTGGACAAAGTGTTCAAGGCTCGTAATTTTTGCCGAGAACACCACGAGTCTTCTACTATCGGACAATTATCATGTTCAGGATTGCCGTCAGTGGAACAATAACGATAGTAAGTAGCCCAAATGGCGTTATACACACCTTCAATTGAAACTCAATGTCTTCTAATCGCTAAACCAGAATAAACAGTTAACTTGTCAATAACATATCCAGCCGGTTCGCACACTCACTTAGTCGTTTACGTATTCTCTTCTGAACTTGACCAACGCATTGTTTTTTTTTTCACAATTTCAATGTCAGCGTAAGAGGCAGCCTCTCAAATTCCTGAGTAAGTTTTGGGTCACCATCACATATGTTGTTCGTAAAACGAACTCTAAACTTTTTCAGTGAACGCATCGACTTCAATTTTCGGTGATGACCCTTCGTAATTAGCTGAACAGACTTATTTATGCTTTTCTCATCATCATTTTTTACTTTCAGCTGTATCTTTTAAAGATTTCCAATAGTCACATTGTTTACAGTACGAGCTTTTTACGAAAAGATCAACAATTTCATCCGCTATGATGGCCAATTAAAGATGTCACAGTGTCACACCATACAAAGAACTGAATCCCATCGTTTTGCAAGTCCCGCCACACATTTTTATTTTCACCTCCTTGGTTTTCCGACGCCGCATTTTTTCTTCACTAAAAGCTTTTTCTAAAAGACTTCCACCGAACACTAACACACCGCCGTGAATATTCTTAATAATCATATCGGAAGAGTTCGGTAATAAAAAAGCTGACATGACCATCGACACGCAAAGTTGCGTGGCACCTTTTAAATCTAAGAAATAGAACTCTATTCATTTTATAAGAATGCATGATGAAATTTCAAGAGTTCATGCTGCGAGGATTACACTTATCATATAACACCCCAAATTTAGGCCCAAGTCCACGTTCCGATGCAGTTTCGAATTTTACTAGTCCGCTACATGTTTCATATAGTACGTACAAATTCACTTACGTGTATATATAGTAGACACAGTCATAAAATTTGAAATTCGATACTCTACGGAAATATCACCAGAGCATGTTGTGCATTGCATGAAAGTGGAGCAATAAGAACCAATAAGTGGTATCGAATTTTCCAAAGCTCAATTACAATGCACTTTACTATTATATTTACAATCACTAGCATAAACTTTCACAATTTACTTTACTTAAATGTAATCTCCAACGCGTTTACTTAACTCTATGCTGAAGTTGTCGCCAACGAGTTCACTTTGTAACTAACTTCTTGGCAGCTGAGTGTCGCCCTTATATAGCAGTCGGCTGCTCGTAGTGGAAAGCGTAGAAGCTTCGAATTGTTCGCTATCGAAGGTTCTCGTGTTATCGTTCTAGAATGTACTAGTTATCGGCTTCTCTCTTTCATCTGACATTCGCCTCGAATTTTCGCAACACTGCCTTCCACCTAAGTCTGATCGTCCCGATCAGACATACTCGCTGTTCCAAACTCAGCAAGCCTCTCAAGGTGGACCACTTTCATCTTGTTTTTTGGATTCCCAACGGTTTGGATTCGATACACTACGTCGTTTAGTCGTTTGATTATCTTGTATGGACCTTCCCAATTACATTGAAGTTTTGGGGACAAACCCCTCTTCCGTTGTGGATTGTACAGCAACACAATCTCCATTTTGGAAACCTTCGGAGTTGATCGCCTTATCATACCTGGCCTTCATTAAGTTCACNATGACCTAAGTAATTCACCTCCTTCTTGAATAAAGAGCACTTCTTAGAATTTAGTTTAAGACCAGCGCCTGCTACTCTCTGGAACACTTCTTCCATATTACGCAAATGTTCATCAAAGCTTTTCCCCAATACGATGATGTCGTCCAGATACACCAAACATGTCTTCCAGTGTAATCCTTTGAGCACATGGTTCATTAGTCTTTCAAATGTGGCAGGAGCATTGCATAACTCAAATGGAATTACCGTAAATTGCCATAGATCGTCGCCAACACTAAAGGCTGTCTTCTCTTTATCTTCTTCACTCATTTCCAATTGCCAATACCCGCTCTTAAGGTCGAGTGTTGAGAACCATTCTGTGCCAGTTAATGAGTCATCTACATTCGGCGCGACGATAAAGTTGTGTAGCACCGTCACATTACCTACTGTGACCGCACACGTTACTTCCCCCACTACTTGGCTATCCTCACCAGTCTCCGTTTTCAATATTGCTATAGGTAATGGTCTCACTTCTTTAGCGATCAGATCAGTTCGAATAATGGAGTGTGATGCGCCCGTATCCACTGTTAATATTCGCTCTCGTCCATCGACATATCCACCAATGGTAATGTTGCTCNAAACTTTGAGAAGTTGATGGTTTATCTTCCTCTGCCTTCCGTTTTCGCTGTACTTCCTGTCTGCTGGAACTTGTTCTGCATTCGCGTGCGTAGTGACCAGGCTTCCCACATTTAAAGCATTTTCCCGCTTGAGTCTTAAAACCAGAACGATAAATCTCTTCTAGCGATTTCAGAGTTCTCAATATTTCTGTCATCACATCTGGTGTGGCAACCTCTACTTTATTGACTTTGTAGGATGCTCTGCTTATGAGCGCCGCCGTGTCACGTGTCTGTGCATACGCAACAGTTTCAGCGAATGTCAACTTTGGATTCGCATATGTCTCTCGGTGGGTGTACACGTCTTTTTTTCCGCTGATGAACCTTTGTATCTTCACCCTTTCAAGATGCCCACCCGATGTGTCTCCAATGGCTAAATGAGCTAATCTCTCCACTTCCGAAGCATATTCCTACAGAGATTCGTTGGATTTTTGGTCACGCTTTTCTTACTCCATCTGGTAAATCTGTCTTCTATGCTCGCTACCATAGCGTCTTTCCTGGGCTCACATCAATCCGTCGTAATCATTTCTCTCGTTTACGGATATGGTTTGCAAAAGTTCGGCTTCAGGTCCTTCCAACGCAACGAATAGTGCAGCGGATTTTCCCTCTATGCTCCAGTTGTTTGTTTCAGCTGTCTTCTCAAATTGGAGCTTAAAAACTTGAAATGGGATTTTCCCGTCAAAAGATGGTGTTTTTACATTCAGAGCGTTCACTGAAGCGGTTGGACGATTTAGATGCAATTCGCGGCCACGACTTTTCAATGCGTTGACTTCGATCTCAATTAGATCTTGCCTTTCCTTAGGTTCCGCATTGTTCCTCACCAGATTTTGCTGTATTTGAGCTATTGTTCCTTCCAAGGATGACATCTGCTCCCTCTGCTCAAACATTTGTGATGTAATGTTGGCATTCTGTGCATTCCACTTTTGTGAAATCGCAGTCAATAGAATGTTCGTGTCAATACCCTTAGGTGACCCAGGAGCCTTTTCTTGAATCTTACTTGAAGGTGATTCCAACTCCTTCACAGAACCATCAGCCTCTTCCTTGTCAATGTTCTTCAAGGATACGTCTTCATCCACGCGATGGAACTCGTACTGGTTCAAGTCGATGCCTTCAACTTCCATTGCTTTCCGCAGTCTCGATTGCAGCTCAGCCTTATTTCCAGTTGTCGACAATCCTCGCTTTGCCAACTTCTGAATGGACGCAGACCGCTTGTAGTTTCGCGTATGGGTCCAGAGGAAGGTTGTTGAGAAGAGTTAATTGGGCTTTTGATCTCCAGTTTAGTTTGCTATCTATCATTATCCCAAGGCATTTGACTTCGGGAGAGAGGGTAATCTCAACACCCTTTAGTTTGAACGATTTAAAGGCATGCGGTTTGTACCTCCTAGTAAATAGCACCATCTCGGTTTTATCAGGGTTCACGTCTAACCCGCTATCCTTGCACCAGTTTCTAACAATGTTAAGAGCATTTTGGTCGCTGTTAGGGCAAAGTCATCAGCGTATGCCACCATACCACATCCTGAGTTGTGTAATTTCCTATTCAGCGTGGCGATAAAACTCCTCCTTGAGGTTGCCACTTATGGTGTGTCTGGTAATGCTGGCGAAAATTATCCTGTTTCTGAGAAAAGACGCTACAAGATTTACAATGGGCTGCTGGAGACCCCATTTTTGAAGAGCCTCTATCACAAATGCAAAAAGAATATTGTTGAAGGCCTCTTCAATGTCGAAAAATATTCCAAGCGTATATTCTTTTTGAATCGTGCAGGTCTCATCAGACGGACTTACCCTTAAAGTACGCATGTTGCTCCTTCGAGAGGCTCCCTGGGGGTAGATTCAGGCGTATGTAGCTGTCAAGCTGCCTTTCAAAAATTTTCAAGAGGAAGGAGGTAAGGCTAATGAACCAAAAGTCCTTAGGACGGACGTGGTTGGCTCTTCTTCCTTTTAGGATAAAAACTACCTTGACCCTGGTCCACGCCTTGGGATATATCCTTTCTTGTAAACTTTGAATAGAAGTGGGGATAACATGTTCTCGGCCGTCTGTATTTCATAGGGGTGGATATCATCTGGTCCTGGAGATTTAAACGGCTGGTATGACTTTAACTTTATTTTTCGACATACAATGCTGCTAATATAGATATTCGCTCACCTTCCGTGCGTGGGATGAGGTCGTACACGATGGAACATCCCGGAGAATGAATGCTCATGAGGATATCCAGCACTTCTTCACAAGATGTTAGTAGAGCTTTTCTCAACCTGTTATGCATGCTTTATAAGAATGCCATAAGCCTGTTCTTTTGGCTTCACTTCCTTAGCTCAGAGTTTTTATTATTCTACCATTAGGCCTCAAAAGCCTCATTGCAGACTCTAGTAACAAAGTCTACTGCTTCATCAATTTTCGACAATGACCGAAAGAAACAGACCTTGTGCGAGATGTCACCGCTTCATCAATTCTTGACAATAAGTGGCGCTTCTCCCCCAGTTTTATTTCGATGCTGACTGTGTCTGCGTCGCTGTGTTGAGAGAGAAGAAAATAAGAGATGTTTTTTTAACAAGGCTGCAAGCTCTAGGCCTACCTTTTCCTGGTGAGGACACCATTTCGTGGGTATCAGACGTTAGTCCGCAAATCCTTTTTCAACTCCCCATGAACCACGTTTATGTCCTCTGCTTTTTCGCAGATGCGCAGAATTAGGGCAGCTGAGTCTGCCTTTAAGTCGTGCAGCAGCAGCTGAAGTGTCTGCACCATCCTGAAAAGCTGATAGGTCCATGGGTTCGATCCTCTCTGCCTCGGGGAAGGTTATGACTATGGCGTCGATACCCTCCCCTTCGGTGTCAAAGTCTAAAAGCTGGTCCTCCATCATAGCTACCCAGCGGGTGAAAACCGCACCAACGTATTCAGATACCAAGAGCATTTCACTTTCAGCATCTGAGCTGGCGCTGATTTCTTCCACCGGGTCGTCTGGCATCCCCAATCCACTTATGGTGTCTTTGGTGGGTACCAGCCGTCTCATATCTTCTCTTGGAAAGGTTCCTTCATCCGATTCGGTCAAGGCGATGTCCGAATTAGTGGGAAGCACTTCTTTGAGAGCCGTTAGGTTGGTAGACCCGCTCGTGGCGTTCTCTCCTTCCTTTATTTGCTTCTTAACTGCTGCTCCAGAGAAATTAGCAGAGTTCAGTGGATTGAGGCTGGGCGTCTCTCCCGTGTGGGGTTTTTTGCTAGCTCCTCTCCCCAGTATCTCTTTGCCATGTGCTGGTCTGTCCAGATGGTCCTCCCGAGACCTAACTGGCATTTTTTCCTTACTCTTCAGGGCTTTCCCTCTTGGGGCTTAGCATTCGCTCCCGCGGGTCCCTAATTTTATTTCGGCATTTCATCTGGTTCTTTGGTCACCTACTGAATTGAGTCCTTTCTGTGACCTGAAAAATGGGAACGGGTAAGCGAACTGTCGACTACGGCAGAGCCCCATGCCGCAGCAAATCACCGGTATCCGCGAGGCTTCATTCGAATACAGTCGGACGCCCCTGACTGCAGACCAATGGGCACGGATACACATGACACCCTGGATTAGGGGGGAAGGGTATGTTCGACACCTGGGCCACCTTTAGAAGGATGTGATTCCTCATCGCGCACTAACGGTCTTGGTACGAGACAGGCTAGTTGCTGGTCAGTTGGTAGCTGTATTCCGCTTCATCTTGCCCTGCCTCAGCTTAGCCCCAAAAACTTTTGGTTGCGTGGAAAACATGAATTTCTCCAAACACCATCTTTTTAGAGCAACCATCTTTTGGTGGCATCTTACAGTCAGTTCTCTATCTTATGGCATAGGAATTCAATAAGAACTTTACTTTACTTGCAACAACCGAAACACTGGATAAAATTAGTATTTTAAAACAATTTTAACACGTTTCTAATTATATCACAGACAATTCTTAATTTTTTTTCAAAACAAACTGCGATTAAAAAATACATTCAAACCCGTAATGAATAAAACAAAGTAACTTAGTGCATATGCAAATTATTTAGAAAGTATAGAGCGTTGTGTTAATGTACATATACAATATATATATACGCAAATTTCTTTAGACTGAATAATTGTTATAAGTTCTCTGCTTCTCGTTATTCTAAGTTCTCTTCTACAGCATTTATATTTCTCTACATTTCCGCCTGCAAGCGGAAGCTATTTCACATTTCGTACTGTTTTATCGACATGAAAAATCTTTCTGCTTACGAACGACTGATGTCGCTCGTCACTTTTGCTCAGGCGAACTCTATGAGTTAGTGGCGACATCTGTTGTCCATGAGTTTTATGAAATATGAGTAGAGAAGTTATTATAACCCGAGAATGTTAATCAGAGAACTTAAAATATCTTAAGTCATTATAACGATCCGAAATCGTTATAATACTGTTACGATTCTGCTAAATCAACCTCGATGATTTTCTGAATCCTTCGGGTACGATCTCTGGATTGTTAAATAAATATCATCAACTTAATTTGCAGTTTCTTTCGTTATAAAGAATTTATGTAATGTCCTTTATTTACTCAGTAATTTACAATTCAATTACAATGCACTTTGCTGGTTACAATCACTTGTATACAACTTTCACGATTTATTGGGTTGCCCAAAAAGTAATTGCGGATTTTTTAAAAGAAAGTAAATGCATTTTTAATAAAACTTAGAATGAACTTTAATCAAATATATAATTGCCATTTTGTTCGATAACCTTTTGCCATCTTCCTAGCAAATTTAGTATTCCACGCTCATAGAACTTCGTGCGTTGATTCGGTGTGTTAAATGAATTTCTTTCAATACATGTGGTACCCAAATATCAAGCTTTTTCACCAGTCCAAGACTTTTTATATGATAATGAACGGTTGATTTTGGTATATTTAACTTCTCTCCTATCTCACGCTCAGTAACAGTTACTCAGTTACGAAACCAATTCTGACACTGTCTTCCTTTTAAGGCTTCATCACCATACACATCTCGTAACTTTTTAGCAACCTGCTCCGCGTTTTTTCCTTTACGGAAATAATAAAGTAAAATATGACGAAAATGCTCCTTTGTGGGCTTCATATTAAAATTGACGCCAAACAAACAAATGTAAACAAAATTTCGCGCACTTTTTTTCTAAAGCAAGCTAAAAGTAACAGCTGATAACTGACAGAAGAAAGAATGAAATTACAGAGTCACAAGCCGTTGAAAAAATTTGTCAACGCCGACTATATGAAAAATCCGCAATTACTTTTTGGGCAACCCAATACTTTACTTTACGACTCTATACTGATGTTGTCGCAAACGAGTTCACTTTGTAACTGACTTGACTTGGCAGCTGAGTGTCGCCCTTATATAGCAGTCGGCTGCTCGTGTTGTTCGCTATCGAAGGGTCTCGTTTTATCGTTCTAGAATGTACTAGCTATCGGCTTCTCTCTTTCATCTGACATTCGTCTCGCATTTTCGCAACAGTACGATAGAGAATTCCCCTACTGGTTACAATGTTTAAAAAAACTTTGGCAGCACTGATCTTTTCGTCCTTGTCAAATTACATTTGCCAATTGGTAAAATAAAAAAGATGAATATTCTTGAAGTTATTTGCATTTCATTTGTTGTTGGGAAGCAAATTTTCCGAGCTTTTACTTTGATAATCAAATTTGAAATATAGTGCAGTGATCGCGAAACAGAAGGTTGGCTTATTGCAGTTAGACAATTGCTTCCAACGAATTCCTGAGACGGCCCGTGGGAAAGGAATTATATTGTTGAGAGAAACCTCAAATAAAATGGCAACGATGTCTTCTGTCTAAAAATTTCGATTTAAAAATTATATTGTATATGAAAATGAGCATCTACTCCTTTGTCATCATGATTCAATAACTAAAGGTTGGATAAGTAGTGACAACGGAGTTTTGACACTCCCTTACAAATGGTTGCATTTTGAAAAGTATTAAAAATCCATTAAAAAAAAAAACAGGGAAAAAGTAGCAAAAAAGGAGTTAAAAAGTATGAGAAATAGTAGGTAATTTTCATGAGATTTTTTATATTTCGTTCATTTTAAGCACGAATTAAATACTTTTAAAATTAAAATAATATAACTATATTTTCTAAATTATATGAAACATTTAGAAATTAATGGATGTGCAAAATAATAAAATTATAAATAGTAAAATTACTTTTAATTGGTTAAAGAATTGGTAAAAGAATTTGCATAATTTGGTTGATGTCCTAATAAAATTAAAGGCTGACATCACCGCCGCCCAAGAAGTGCGATGGATGGGACAAGGACAAAAGTGAGTAGGATCTTGTGACATTTATTACAGCGGCCATATTAAGGAGCGCAAATTTGGTGTCAGATTCGTGATGGGAGAGGGATTTCGTCACCAAATACTGGCGTTCACTCCAGTGGATCAACGTCTTACAACAATCCGCATCAAAACGAAATTTTTCAACAATGTTCACTTGCGTCCATGCCGCGGCGGATAAGACGGCCGATGTGACGAAGGATACCTTAAATAAGCGTATTAACCTCTACGACTTCAACGTTAGGGTAGGAAGAGAGGATATCTTTGGCACAACTGTAGCAAAATCCAGCCTTAACAATCGAACATCCCCAAGTGGGCTGTGGCTGATCGACTTCGCCGGAGCCCGAAATTTGGTTGTCTTCAGTACTCGATTCCAGCATAAGGACTAATTTGTCGAAAAACCGAAACCAGATTGATCATGTTGTGATCGACGGAAGACATGTCTCCAGTGCTCTTGACGTGCGTACACTCCGAGGGCCTAAAATTGACTCGAAGCGATCCTCAACAAAAACAAAAAAGTTTCGAAGTCAAAAAGCTGTAACCACAACAGACAGCCGAACGGTTTTCTACTCGACTTGCACTCCTGCTCTCAGAGAGCACTGATCAAAAACTCGGTATAAAAAAACTGTTATGCGGAATTCCAAGCCCACTAAAGTACAGCTTCAAACGAAATAATTGGTTATTGAAAATTATTGATGGTACAATGTGCACTGTAGTGTAGTAGTGAAGAGAAAGCAGGCTACATACACGTACCACGCAACGTTGCGAGGATGGGATAGAGCTAAAGAGGGAACCAAGACGCATTTGAAGTAAAAAAGAAAGAGGCCAGAATGCGTGAATATGAAGAGCTTGAGAAGCTGGCCGATAGGTTTTGTCAAGAGGGAGCGAGAAAGCTGTTTACTTATCCAACCTTTAAAAATCGAACCTATTTCGCTGGTAACAACACTTGCACGATGACAGTGAACTCAGAATACGAAATAGTAACAAAATTTACTGAATGGTAGATTTTAATAACAAAGTAAGTTTTGTTACCAGTGTCCTCCGATTCCGATTTAATACACGCAGCCTGAATCCATAGCTTTCCAGCTTGGCATCATTGCCAAATTTCTTTACTAAGTGCCGATAGTTTTGGGTATTCTATGCTGCCCATTTAATTTACATAGGAAATTGCTTGCGGCCTTAGCTCTTAATTTCGTATGCTTTGAACTTAAGTACGTTAATGTGGCCCTGCTTCTCCCTATCACTACAACCAGCGCCCGAAACATCAGGAAAAATTTCTAAGACAAATTTACCTTCTCTAATAGGATTCTCCATTACGTTAATATTATTTATCCACCAATCAAGGTCTGTGTCCCTCCACTCTTACTAAAAACTAAAAGCTTTTGTCTCACCAACTGCTTTGTATTCAAGTATTCCATGCTGCACTGCGGGGCAAGTTGCTATATAGTATCCTAAAGATTGGGTTATCTTAATTTTATCTGCGTTTCTGAAATGGAGGCCTCAGACAAAAATTCTTCTGAGAAGGGGTTATTACGACTTTCACCAATTTATCTTGAGGCCTGATTTTTTGTATTGCAACAAATCTGTAGTCTGCACGATATTATTTCTACAGACTAGGTATAAATTTCCCACCAACAACACATTATCAAGGTACACTACCTATTTCCAACCTTACAATCGTAACTCTTCTTCGATTACTTTCATTACCCCCAACAGCCTCATTATCATTGAAAACTGGTTGTTTGGGTGATTGGCTTTGAAGTACTTGTGAGCAAAATGGGATTTTATATCCACATAGTTTGCAAAACCTCTTCATCAGAGCTTACATTTCCTAACTTCCATGCTTTTATCGACTCCCGATGACTTGGAGGCGATCTGGTTTGTTCCGAGTTGTATTGCCCCCTGTCTAGTAAGTGGTTTTGTGATGGTATTTCTGTCAGAATGTTTCGCGTTTAAATATTGTTTTTGAGTATAGCTCGATGCAGAGTTTGAAGGTACAGTTGTTATGGTACTTGACGATGGTTTAAGCATATCTTCTGCCTTCACTCCCTCAGTGGATGACTCACCAAACAAAAGTGTATCAAATGGCCCTTTGTTGCACCATTCTTGGACAATAAGGTAAGTCAAAGCAAAATTAATGAGTGTCTGGTTGTGGAAAGCTTATAGTGTAGGTTTCTTAAAATTGTTTCTGGTTCTCCAAGAGCGGCATTGACTCTACGCACCAAACGCTGCCCCAACCTGAAGGCAGGAAGGTCTGTGCATTGAGCTTTTTTGATGAAAGGCGCAGCAAGAATTAATTTCAATTGTGGAATCTGAGTAGGACCACACAAATCTGGACAGTTTCCAGGTATTGGGTATTTACCTAGAAGCTCTTCTCTTTTACCTTCTAATAAACTGGAAAATACCAAAGCGTGCCAATTATCCGCAATAGTCTGAAGAATAACCTGGTACCAGGTCTTGACTGATTGTCGTAGTATTTGCGTCGTAGTACATGCTAACATGGTGTCTGCTGAAACTTATTCACGATCTGGCGACTTCGGAGAAAGAGCCGATTTTTTCGTGGTCTAGGTTGATATTGTTGAGGAGTATGGGCTATTAAGTATGT